CCCCCCCCCCCCCACCCCCCGCCACGCCCCGCGCTGGTGGGAGGGTAACTCACCCTGCCTGCAGACTGGAGTCTGCAGAAGGAGGCACCCTGTTGGTGGGAGGGCCAAGGAGGTGGGTCTTGAAAGGGATACTGTGAACTGAGCCGAGGGCTTGGGAAGTCTCCCCAGAACCAGCAAATGGGGGGCATTTGGGGTCATGTTCAGTGGAGCACTAATTTCCTACAGACTTCCATGGAAATGGACAGACAGACATCCCCAGCTTAGGAACAGGTATGTTCCTCAAATTACTTTCCAGGCTCCTTGCTTAGCCCTCAGATGGAATGTTCCGGAAAAACCAGTGTTAAGGGCCAGGCTGGTTCACAACAGCCCAGGTAGATTTGCAGTGGATGCTGGCAATCCCGTTTCCACCACGCCCAGCCATGGCTTATAGGCACTTGTCACGAGAAAGTACATCTAGATCCCCAGTAAGACACTGTCTCCAAAGGTGCCAGACCCTGGTGGAGTGGGCCCTACACAGCCAGGTGGCCACGTGACGTCTGCAGAGATGGTGTCTTTTCTGATTTGCCTTATCTGCCTACGGTCTGAACCCACTTCTTAAAAAGGACCCTTGGCACGTGGAGGGCTGAGGCTAAAAAAGTGCCATAAATCTAAAATTTAAAGAATCTTAGATCCCCTTTTACCTCACCACATTTCCAAGGCAAAATTCAAAATGACAGTTTGGGCAAATCCTCGATGGCTTCCCAAATACGAAAAGCGGTTTAGACATGGTTTTCACGCCACGATATTGAAATGTGGGGACAGTGCAGTGGTGAACAGGGACCGAGAAAGATGCTGTCCTAAACCAGGGCTGTCCTGCAGTATCAAGGGGAACAGTGGACACTCAACATGGTAACCACGGTGCTCACATCTGCTGGTGAGCACCTCAAAGTAAAAAGCACTCAAGGCTGGGATCGCATTTCTGTTCAATCGCGGGCGGCACACAGAGGTGACTCATGCTGCCAAGATGTGCACAGAAGTGGGAAGAGGCAGTGGGAGGAGGGAGCCCCTTTGGGGAGCAGAGCAGACGTGTGGGCTGTTAACCCCAGGTCGCCCCAGATGGCAATCCTGCGGGGCCCAGCCCACCCTCCATCAACTGGGCTGGAAGAGCCCCAGCCAGCCAGCTCTTTGGTTGTTGTGGTCCCTGCAGAGCTTGGCCCAGGGACAGGGTTGGAGGCAGGTGTCTGTGGAGGGGCTGGACCTCCTCCCCCAGTCTGGTTTGGGGAGGCGGGGAGGGACAGGGCAGATTTCCCTGGGGGTGGGGCTTCAGGGATGAAGATCCACTTACTTGGGGCTTCTCTGGTGGCGCAGTGGTTAAGAATCCACCTGCCAATGCAGGGGACACGGGTTCGATCCCCGGCCCGGGAAGATCCCACATGCCGCAGAGCAACTAAGCCCGTGCGCCACAACTGCTGAGCCTGCGCTCTAGAGCCCGCAAGCCACAACTACTGAAGCCCGTGCGCCTACAACCCGTGCTCCGCAACAAGAGAAGCCACTGCAATGAGAAGCCCACGCACCACAAGGAAGAGTAGCGCCGGCTCACAGCAGCTAGAGAAAGCCCGCGCGCAGCAACAAAGACCCAACACAGCCAAAAAACTAAATTAAAAAAAAAATCCATTTGTTTATGTGTTGTTCTCAGGTCTTAAGTGTAGGTTGAAAAAGACCAAGTAAAAAATAAGACGATCTTTTTCTGCAAAAAGAACATTAAAATAGCAGTCATAGGTCAGAACGCCGGCCTTCGGACCTGCGGGGCACTGAGGTTCCGAGTGCTGTCAGAAGAATCCAAACTGAACTGATCTCCAACCTTTGCTCCAGGCCCGAAAGGCCAGGGGGTGGGGGATGAGGGGTGCTACCCGCCGCACCTGTCCGGCCAGCCTTGCCAGGTTGAGTCCCCAGTCCCGCCCCAGGTCCCGCAAATCCCACCCCCCCCGGTCTCCCCATCCCGCCCTCGGTCCACCATCCCCCATCCCGTGCCTCCTCCCTCCCAGGCTCCGGGCTCCAGCTGCTCCTGGCGCAGGAGCAGGTGCAGCCCCTCCCGCCCCCTCATCCCTTCGGGCCCCGCCCCGTCCCGCCCGCGCCAGCCGCGCCCCCGCCCTCCCCCTCCCCCGACATTCCCATTCCTCCCCCTCGCCCTCCTTCCCCGCCCCTCCCCCGCCGCCAGCCCCGCCTCCCGGCGCCCGCGGCCCGGCGGAAGGACCGGAGGCACCCCGAGTCCCGGGAGGTGGACTTGGCTCCCCGGCCCCGCGGCCCGGGCGCCCCCTCCCGCCCCTTTCGGCATGGAGTCCGCGGGGCGCGCGCAGACGGCGCGGGACCGCATCCCCAGGTAGGCGCACGAGGCCCGGGCGCCCCTGGCCCAGCCCGGGGGAGAGGGCGCGGGTGCCGGTGGCGTGGAGCCGGCGGGGGCGGTGGTGCCCGGCGCCTGCGCGCCCCTGGGCGGCCCCTGCGCTGCGCACGCGCCCGCGCTCGGCCCGCCGCCCCTTCCTGCACCCGGGAGGGTGTGGGGGGAACACGCGCCCCCCACGGGGGGCCCCGGGCGCCGCAGGTCCCACGTCCCACGTGCGCGCGGAACTTTACTCTGGGTCTTTTTGTGTCGTAGGATCGATCCGTACGGGTTTGAAAGGCCTGAGGACTTTGATTATGCAGCTTATGAAGAATTTTTTTCCACCTATCTGGCGATACTCACCAGAAGAGCCATAAAATGGTCCAGACTTCTAAAGGGAGGCGGTGGTGTCCAGAAGAGTATGACACGTGAGTTCGGAGCCTGATCCACCAGGCGCGCAACAAGTGACCCGACCGACGGGTGACGGGCGCGCCAGGGAGGTCAGGGCTTGGGGTTCCTTCGGGTCTCGGGTCTCAGGGGGAAGGCTGCCGCGAGCCCGGCTCGTATCCCGCGCAGGCTCACAGGTGAGGGCGCTGCACGCCCAAGGTGCAGGCCCTCCTTTCTTCCCTCCGGCATGAGGCCTGCTTGTCCTTTGAGATGGATGGAGACCATTGCCTTCTTTCCAGAAGAAGGTGGATTTCCTGCTCCTCCAGATGAGAGTGGCCAGGGCTGTGCCCTTGCGCGGTTCTGGGCAGAGCTCTCCCTGACCCCCGCAGAGTGAAAGCGGGGTCCTTCCTGCACACCCCCCACCTCTTCCCCTGCTCTCCTTGGGGTTCTTCCCCAGCCCCAGGCTGTGCCCTCGCCTCCTTCAGGTCTGGATTGGAATGCCACCTCCAGGAGGCCTTCCCGTCTCACCCCACAGCCCCACACTTCCTGTCCTTTCCTTGCCTATTTTCTGTTCCTCCCTGTCTTATGCCGTGTGGGTCCTACTTATTTTATCCTTTGTTTCCCCTGCTGGGATCAAAGACCCCTCCCTGCCGGCTGGATTGGATGGATGATTGCTTCAGTGTTTGTTGAATGAATGAATGGAGTGTTTGCCTGCAGTGTTCCTCACGCTGTGGATAGAGGGTAGACCGTGGGTACCTGCGGGCAGGTGGTGAGGGGTGGACGGGAATGTGCCCCAGGCAGCTAAGGAAACTCAAGTATGTGGGGCAGAGGGGCTGCTGGGGCTTCCTGACATGGGACATTAATGACAATTAAGGGGTGAGGGCGGGGGTCCCAGCCACCAGGTACTGAGTTGTGACCAGAGTATTAGGGGTGTGGTGAGGAGGGCCCGGCGGTGGAACAGGGGCCCTGCACCAGGTCACAGGTGGGCACACATTGCACCACCAGGCAGAGAGAAGTCAGCGTTTAAGCAAGGGGGTGACAGGTCAATTTTTGCCTTTAAAGGGGCCCCCAGAGGGGCCCCAGTACGCAGGAGATGCTTGGGAAATACGTGTGGGATTAACGCGGCGGGGGTGGGGGGTTGGAGGCAGGTGGACCTGGACCTCGGCCTCACCCCGGGCTTCACCCTCAACCAGGCCCTCCCTCCTCAAGGCTGTTACTGGTGGGCAGTGTTTAGTAAAAACATGGGTAAACTAGCGTTTCATATAATCAGCCTGAAGGGACCTCAAAGGTTGACCCTTCTTGCTCTCCAGACCCCGAAGCTAATATCCTGCATGATTGTACGCCGAGGTCCATCCGTACGTTGCTGCTGGTGTTAACGTGTTTCCAGCAGACATCGGCTTCATTTTTTCCCTTTTGATTTGTTTTTAAACGTTACACACAAATATATAAAAATAAACTTAATTTTTGCACATGGGAAATCTTAATCACACTAAAAGATGTGAATTGAATTGAGTTTCTCTGCTGCCCAGGCCCCAGTCTCCCGTAGAGGTGACCGCTGGCAACTGTCCCACGTCCCCCCAGGAACAGGGTGCACTCTCGGGCCGTCGTTTGCTTTTTAATGCAGGAGAAGACTTCCTGTCCAACATAGACCCAGGGGTCCAGCTGACCCAGAGGTCAGTTAATGCAGAGAATCATTGCAAGATGCACATGTGCGCATAAGCCTTTGTTTTTATATAAAACACACGTGCATGTTTATTCCTCTTTGATTTTGTCATTTGATTCTATCCTGTCATCTTTTCTTTGAACAGGGAGGGTCCACCAATTCTGTATCTTTCCTGCCGGAACCGTACTTAACGCGTTGTATCTATTTTCCAGTGTCGGGGTTTTTTTTCCAGGTGGATCGGGAGTAAAAGCAAATCTAATGCAGAATCCTTCCAGATCTTTAGTCTTTTCCTCCACTTTGGAGGTTGTGTCTGATTTAAAGGTTTTGTTTTGCTTTTGCTTTTGCCCTTTGGAGCACTTATCAACTTTTTCTGAAAATTTAACTTGCTTTTATTGGAATAACAATTATTTCTTTTTCTGCTTTAATTTTTTTTTTTTTTTTTTTTGCGGTATGCGGGCCTCTCACTGTTGTGGCCTCTCCCATCGCGGAGCATAGGCTCCGGACGCGCAGGCTCAGCGGCCATGGCTCACGGGCCCAGCCGCTCCGCGGCATGTGGGATCTTCCCGGACCGGGGCACAAACCCACGTCCCCTGCATCAGCAGGCGGACTCCCAACCACTGCGCCACCAGGGAAGCCCTTTTGCTTTAATTTTTAAAAAATATATGCAACATTCGTTAAACTGTCTGATCATGGCAGCGAGTATACTTGGCATACAGGTTTAGGAGCAAATATACTTGATCCCTGGTGAGCCTTTGGCCTGGGGACGGGGTTCACCGTCGAGCTGAACCGGAGACCATAGTGACCTGAAGTTCTTTCAGGAAATCCAGCGAGAGGCATGTGGGCTCGCAGGGTTCTGTGGGCCAGGGCGTTGCCGCTGGAGCTGGTGTGGCTTCCGGGTGTGACGGCCAGGGAGGCTGCAGCACCCACGGGGCTCCAAGGGAGGGGCAGTCGGCGTAGACAGCAGTGGACGTGTGATCCAGGAAATGGACATCCAGTTTTTTCCTGCCAGACGTTCTGGGCTGGCCGTAGTGTCGTCGGGGGTGTGGCATCCCAGGGAAGGGAGGCCGTTTGAGGGCTGTGGGACCAGCTTGCGCGGTCAGAGCCAGGCAGCTGAGTTTGGAGCCCTGACCCTGACACCAGCGAGCACGCCCGAAGACCACCTTTGCTCCCGGGCCTTCACTGTTTCTGGCTTTTTGGGTCCTACTGTGTTTGTTCTCTTTTTTTGAGAGGACTTCCGTCTTGTCTCCAGTCACGCAATTACCCACAAATCCTGGCATCCAGCAAGTCTTCAGATGACAGCTGAAACTCACCCTGCTTGAGGACGCTAGCTGTGGATACGATGACACTTTTCTTTTTCTTTTTCTTTGTCTGTGGCGAGTATCCACCGGGAGCCTGAGATCGCTTGCTCTCAGGGCTCGAACTGGAAGCTACCCTTACGTTCCTTTCCGCCTTGGTGTGAAGGCACTTGGTGAGGGAAAAGCTCTGTCCCGTTTGCTTCTTCTGTGTCTGCTGCCCAGTGGGCTACGGCATTAGCACCATCTAAATGAGAATGAAGTTACAAAACATATTTTAAAGGCAAATGTGAAAAACCTGGGAATCTGCTTAACTTTTGGGGGCAGACAGCGGGGAGTTAATTCTTTGCGTCTAGCTTCTTTTTAAAAAATTGCCAACAGTTTTTACCATGTATTTTACACTCCTCCAAATGTCCTCCTGAGGACGCACGGGTTAGCCCTGCCCTTGGGGAAGCATCAGTCTCTGAGGATGGGAAAACCGTTTTCTTTCTCTTCCAGAGAAACTTAGTAAATTCAGGTAACAAACAACGAAAACAACAGAAGCCTTTATTCTCTGAAACTTCTGGGTGTCGTTACTGCTCTTACGGGCAGCCGAGAGCCCCGAGTCCTGACTGTATTTCAGGCACTGGGCTGTGCTTTGTTCCCATTTCACAGGTTAAGAGACTGAGGCCTACTCAAGGTTGGGGCTGGTGAGGCACAGTGTGAGGGGTTTAACCAGTGTGCACTTTCCTTTTTATACTTTATATTAATTTTAAAAAATTTGCAGTGAAATTCGCTCTTCTTGGCGTACAGGTCTATGAGTGTAGACAAATGCACAGTCAGGTAATCCCCGCCACAGGTAAGGTTCAGGGCAGTCGGTTGCCTTCAGGAGCCCCTCCTGCGTGATCCTGGGCGGCTGACCTGCAGGCCGGGACGTCAGCAGAGGCCTGGGTGGGTGTGGCGGCAGCTACAGGGCAGCGGGAGGGATCCTGAAGGTGTATTGGCGTCTCTCTCCGTTTACGTAGTTCTTTGATTTCTCTTTGCAGGTGTTTTGTTAGATTTATACCTAAATATTTCTCCTTTCATTTTTGGTGCTATTGTAAGTGATACTGTCTCAGTGTTTTTATTCCAGCGGTTTGCTGTTCCTACATGGAGTTACTGTTGATCCCTTCTGATACTGTCTCAGTGTTTTTATTCCAGCGGTTTGCTGTTCCTACATGGAGTTACTGTTGATCCCTTCTGCTCCGTCTCAGTGGGAACGGCCCCTCCCCAGTTAGGCCTGGCCTGTCCGTCCCCTTGCTATTGCTGAACAGGATTGATTCTCTCTGGGTGCGGCTGGTCACGCTGACCCCTGAGGGCTCCTGTAGATCGTACTGAGTTGGAGGGTAGACTTAGAAACGTCACGTCCCCATAACAGAATGACCAGACCAAGCCACGCTGGCCAAGACGTTCTGGCCCAGACGCGATCCTACAACACGCTTCCAAACTGGCAGAGGGTTTCTGGAGTTTGCTTTGCCTTTGGCGCATGGTGTTAAAATCTGTCCTTTCCTTCCTCTGGGCATCCCTCATCATCCCGCATTCTTCTGCACACGTTTGCCGTGTGTTTCCTGTCCCACACGCCCTCGCAGGAGCAGGCAGGTGCTCGACCTGGTCCCCGGGAAGCCTCTTTTCAGGTGCTCCCGCACAGGTGACCGTCAGTTTGAGTTACAAGATTTTAGCGATACTGCTTTTCTTGACCGTAGCCTATACGGTCTACGGCTGGTTAAATACGGCTGGTGCCTCGGCGTCCAGCACAGACCGAGGGGCGGGCAGGGTGGGGACTGGAGGTGACCCTCGCAGCCCGTATTCTTGTGCTGACAGCGAGCTAGAGGTACCAGGGCTGCTGTAGCCTCCGGACTGTGCTCAGCTTGGGGACGGAGAACGGAATTCTGTAATGAGCGCATGTATCAGTTTGGTGGAGGTGCGTGAGGTTTTGCACCTTTCTTTTTTTTTGCGGTACGCGGGCCTCTCACCGCTGTGGCCTCTCCCGTTGCGGAGCACAGGCTCCGGACGCGCAGGCCCAGCGGCCGTGGCTCACGGGCCCGGCCGCTCCGCGGCACGTGGGATCTTCCCGGACCGGGGCACGAACCCGCGTCCCCCGCATCGGCAGGCGGACTCCCAACCACTGCGCCACCAGGGAAGCCTCGCACCTTTTTTTATGTCTGATTGACTGATTTCGGCGAGAGCCAGAAGCAAACTCTGTGGTTTCTGGCCTCAGGAAGCGCCCAGCGGTCTGTGTAAAGCCGCCCCTCCCTCCGTTTCAGTGAAGCGCTACATCCGGAAGGGCGTCCCGCTGGAGCACCGGGCCCGCGTCTGGATGGGGGTGAGCGGAGCCCAGGCCCAGATGGACCGGAACCCCGGCTACTACCGCCGTCTCCTCCAGGGAGAGAAGGATGGCAGCCTGGAGGAGGCCATCAGGACAGGTGACGCGCGGGTCCGCCCCCCGGGGTATGCGGGCTGGGCGCCACCCCCAGAAGGAAGCTGTGTTAGCAGCCGGTGATGTTGTGATGTTGATGAGGAAAGTTATGTGGTTAAAGATGCATCAACTGATTTCAGTTTTCTGAAAAGAAAATCAAAACTCGGGCGTTCACGAGGGGAGAGTGATTTGAACTCTGGCTCAGGAAATACTTGCGTGTCTAGCTAGGTGGTAAGGAAAATGGTGCCAGGAAGACCGCATTTCTGAGAAGAATCCCTCCAGGAACGCGAGGCCGCTGAGCCAGCAGTCAGTACAGGAGGGACGTGGGCTGGGTGACCCCCGCGGACTCACAGACACAGCTGCGCGCGTGCAGGAAGCCACACACCAGAGACCTCTCTTTATGTCATACTCTGAGTGTCCAGGGTTGCTCGTATTTTGGGGCTTCTATCTTCTTTTTCCTCCAATTTCCTCACTGGTCCCATAGGGATAGGCTCATAGGCTCTTGAAAGTTCAAAGTACTCAAAAAAATGTTTAACCTGGATGGAATAATTCGATTTTTAGGAAAAGCGGCTGCCTTTCTGACTGTAACAGCTTTTGAGATTTAAATGCTTCATTTTAAAAATTTGATTACTTTAAATGTCAGAGAGGTTGGACTGACTTGTAACGTTGGGAAAGTGGTGTGTCCCCAGCGTGAGGAGTAGGGGTCTCAGATCCCAGAGCTGAAGACGGGGTGGGGGGCACTGGGGTGCTGAGCCTGCTGGCTGCATCCTGATGCCACAGCAAACCCCGGCCAAAGGGCTCAGAACAGACGCTGCCATGACCCTGCAGGCACACATGTGGGGGTCCCTCCGCAGGGCCAGATGTGCTGATTCAGGGTGGGAAGAGACCTCAGGTCCAAGCGAAGGCTGATCGTGTTAAATAAAGTAGAATGTGGCTGTTTGTTTGAAAAATGAATTTTAAAGGATCTATTTAGTGCAGAGTTTTTGGATACAAAAAATTGACCTTTCTGTCTTTCCAAACTGAACCTCTGTCCCCATTAAACACTAACTCCCCATCCCCTCCCCCGCCTCCACCATCCACTCTCTGTCTCTATGAATTTGACGCCTCTAGGGACTTCATATGGCTGGAATGACACAGTATTTGTCCTTTTGCGTCCGGCTTATTTCACTGGGCGTAACGGCCTCGAGGTTTGGCCTCAAGGTTCACCCACATTGAGCGTGTGTCGGGATTCCCTTCCTTTCTGAAGCTGAACAACATTCTGTTATGTGTAGAGACTGCGTCATGTTTATCCATCATCTGTCCACGGACACTTGGGCTGCCTCCACCCTCTGGCCACTGTGAGTTATGCTGCATGAACGGGGGTGTGCAAGTAATTTTCTGAGACCCTGCTTTCAGTGTTTTGGGTACATGCGCAGAAGTGGAACTGCTGGGTCACGTGATGATTCTAGGTCTATTTTCGAAGGGTCTGGATCAGTCGTTTTATAGGGACAGCAGAGCGGGTGCTTCGTGCCACAAAAGTGCAGACCAAACGTCCCGCTGTGTCTGCCTCTAGCGTGGCAGTGGGGTAGGCGTAGAGAGATTGCAAAACACGGAGAAACGTCTCATCATAGAAAACATTATGTAGCAATGAGCACTGATCGCTCTAGTCTGAATTAGTGAAAAGCACACATTTCCCTGTGGTGGATGCCCGTTTTTGGAAGGTTCAGAATTCCAGGGAAAAACTCTTCTTTGTAAAAAACGTACAATGAAAACTTACGTGCTTTGAGGCAGGCAGCGTGCTGTTCGGCTCAGAGCTGGTTTTTGTGGGCAGAGACCAGGCCTGGGCCAGAGCCCGGGGGCAGAATTCCTGCAGCAGTGGGGAGGCCTCCAGCTGTCAGCTGTGTCCGAGAGTCCCGCTGTCGCGTGGACACACTGCTCTGATCCAAGCAGGGCCAGCAGTTGTTAGTTGACCCCCGCCCTCCTTGCTCTGCCCGCGTCCTCGCTTCACAGGATTGCAGCTCCTTAAGGCAGGCATCCGGCCCGGGCGGGGAGGGGGGCCAAGCAGCAGCAAGAGGCTGCCGGACTGTCTTGCAGACAGAAGCCGGCAGCAATGAGTTTATCTCGTGCCCAGTTTTCCCTTTTGTCTGTTTCTCTCTAAACGGGAATCTCGGGGTATCCTGCCTCCTTATGTGTTCAGTCTTCAGAACTGGGAAGATTCTCCAGAGTTTTATGTAACCTGTTCACCTGTCACCCCACCTCATCCCCAGCTAAGCGGGGGGCGCGGGGACGGCAGGAGCCGCCAGGGCCCGAGCAGCCCGACCTCATCCGAGGACCTCGCTCTGTCGTCCTTGCTGACTCCAGAGGAAGGGCTGCTGTGCCCACCTGTGTCCCCGGGCTGGGCTGCCGCGGGACAGGGGACCCGGGGGGCCGCCTCTGCGCCCCCGAGGCCGGCTGATGGTGGACGTCAGGAAGGGTCCGGGTCCGTCGCAGAGCCGTCTCTGTCCCCAGCCCTGAGCGGCCTGCGCCACGGATTTCCTCACAGACATGAACAGGACCTTCCCTGACAACGTGTGGTTCCGGAAGGGCTCGGACCCCTGCTTGCAGAGGACCCTGTACAACGTGCTGCTGGCCTACGGGCACCACAACCGTGGCGTGGGCTACTGCCAGGTGAGCCCCCAGCGCCCGCAGCCCCAGCAGGGACATCAGCCTGGTCCTGGGCTGCCAGGTCCCCCTCGACACAGGCTGGGACTTCACCGTCTCCCAGCGGTGCCAGCCCACGGAGACGGGGCGGGGGGGAGGGGAAACAGCTGAAGTGAACACGGGCTGCGGTGACCAGCATCCTCTCGTCTTGGTGCAGATGGTGGGCACGTGTGTGTGTGTCTGAGCGTGCACGCGTGCGGTGGGCCAGCCCTTCGAGGCTGTTTCCGGAAGCCGGATCAGCCGGCAGTAGGAGGTGACAGGGGTCTTGCTTTGTTCCTGCTGCGCGGAGCTGCCCGTCAGGTGGCAGGAATCAGTTCTCATTCCTCCCTGGAGACTCTCCTTCTGGAGCATCGAAGGGACAGTGTTCACGGCCCGGAAAGCAAGGGGAGCTGGGTCGGGAGGCGAAGGGACCGGAGGCTGCCGGGTCCCGGCGGGTGTGGGCAGGGGCCAGGGGCTGCGGCTGGGGGCTCCTGTCCCTGCGTGCGAGGCCCCTGTGCCCCCCAAGCCGGAGGCCGGGCCAAAGCGTCCCCGAGAGGAAGGCAGGCCCTGGGCGGTAGCACCTATGGTCCCCAGTGGCTCCAGGGCTGGGACCACGAGCGCTGGGACCACGAGCGCCGGGCCGGGGGCAGGGGACACGGACGCCTACTTGGGGCGGCCCCGGCAGCTCCTGTCCTGTGTGGACGGCACGTAGTGTGGCCTCGGCTCTGGGGGGACGGGGGGTCGCGGGAAGGAGTGAGGCGGGAGCTTTGAAAAGACCAGCAGCAAAGACACGTGAGGACGCCGTTCACAGAGCGGCCGGTGTGATTCCCAGGTTGTTTTCAGGCCGCTGTTCCGCAGGGGGTACCTGCGGGAAAGACGCAGCTGGGCGGATCTGTTCTTCCGAGGTAATCCCTGTCTCTGTCACTTGTTACGACTGCCTTTGACATCCTGTCCTGGGGCAGGAGCTGGCCTTCAGGAGTCGGGGAGACAGGGCGGCTGAGAAACTGTCCTTAGATTATTCTAGCTGCTGTTCTTGTGAGTCTTAAAAATAGGGTTAAAAAATAACCCACACAGTTTTAAACTTGAGCCTGATGCCAAAGCTCTGCTGGCTTTTGGGAAATACACACATGTATGTACACACACACACACACACACACACACACACACACGTATGGGCTTCCTGTGGCTGCCGTGACATCGTGCCACCAGCTGAGAGGTGCACAGGACAGGAGTCGATCGTCTCTCAGCCCCACAGGCAGGAGTCCGTGGTCCGGGGGTCGGGGGGCTGGCTTCTCCATGGCTGTCTCGCTGGTGACCCGTAGCCTCTGTGGGGGGTGTGTCTGCGTCCAAATTTAACTTGTTGGTTGACAAGGGCTGGATTTTCCCCTTATTGCTAGAGAAATACATGGTTATTTTAGAAGTTGTAGAGAAGCAGCAAAGAAGAAAGTGGAAGCCACCCGACACCCAGTCTCGCAGGAGGGCCGCTGACTTGGCGCTCGGCCACCGCTGCTACTTTCCGGGTCCACCCGCCCCCGGCGGCTGAGGGTCCTGAACTGTGTGTATATGGCAGCGTCTGCCCCCTGGCGCTGTGCACCCTGAATTTCCCCAAATAGGCTCTATCACGAGATTCCACTTCAACGTCCCCGAGCGTCAGACCACGCGCCTTACCACTCTTAGGAAGTGTGGTCGCCGGTGTAGTTTCCCCCCGATACAGTTTCATGAACACGAGGCCCTGGCCTGTTCTAAGTCAGGAGTCATGGGCCCAGCTACACGTGTCACTAGATGGCAGAGCCTTAGACGCTGTAGCTCCACTGAAGGGTCGTTCCAGAATCAGGCAAGCTTTAGGGAAGAGCCAGGAAAACGGAAAGTTAGCAGTTAGCCAGGCGATTACAGAGTCTGCAGGTGGTCCAGACCTCAGTGAGTTTCTCTGGTTCTTTTGTCTAATTTCAGGGAATGAACTTTCTCGCGGGGCATCTGATTCTGGTGACGAGGAGTGAAGAGGACTCCTTCTGGCTGTTGGACGCCCTTGTTGGCAGGATACTCCCGGGTACGTTGAGTCCTCGCGGTAAGAGCGGAACTGTCGCTTTCTGGTGTTGCCAAAATGATGTCACTGACAAGTCAAGACGTGACGAAACAGAAGGAGCTGTCTGAGAGTCGAGGTCAAAAACCTTCTTGCAGTTGAGTTGAGACAGGAGCGCGCGAGATGCGGGTCCCAGCAGGCGGCGCTGCGTCTCGGGGCCCGGACGTGGCTGAGCGGGCTCTGAGCTCCGCGTCCGGGTCTGCGCCGCTGGCGTCTGGACCGTGGGGATTGTCGCGGCCGTAGCGAGCAGACTGGCGAGCGGCCGCGCTTCTGTAGCCTTCGTTGCTGGGCTCGTGAATGGCCATGGGCACAGTGACCGTCAGCTGTTGTGGCTACTGCTTTCGAGGTGAAGATCATTCCTCTCACGCATTTCTACTCTTCTGTTTATTACTGAATGTTAATTGTTTTAGTGAATAAACCACCACCGATTTCTGTGATGCGCCGCGTAGACGGTGAGCTGCAGAGTAGGGTCCCTTTGGGACAAGAAGTGGCCGGAGCCGTCTGGGGTGGGAGAGGACTTGGGCAGATGTGACCCCCCCCACAGCCACGATGGCAGTGATTGGTCCAGCCGCTGGCAAAGTCCTGGTGACTGTGGACGGGCTCCGGCTGCCCACGCGATGAGCCCTGGTGGTCCTGTCTGCTGTGCCCGCCTCCCATTTCCTTCCCCCTCCTCCCCCACCCGCCTTCCTGGGTCGGGCCGGGCTCAGCCCAGGACCACCCAGGAGAGCAGCCGCCCGTCCTGGGGGCTGCGTGTTCAGATGCGAGGGCAGCCGGGGCCCGTCCAGGCTCCAGGCTCGCCTGCACCCGCTCTCCTCTGGTCCACGGAGCAGCCACACCACACACGCCAACCACTGAGTCCCCTTCACGGCTGGCGGCACGGAGGCCTGGGCTCAGATCCACAGCTCTGTGCCCCCAGGAGGTGAGCCTGGGCGGTGCCGTGAAGAGGGGGCCTCTCCTCGGGCTTGTGCCGCTGATAACAAGGGCTGGGGGGTGCCGCCCGCGGGGACGGAGGACGGAGGGGGCAGCTGCCCCGGCTTCACGGCGGAGCCTGAACGGCTGTCAAGCGAGAACATGGACAGGCTTCCAGACAAAACGCCAACACGGCTCCGTGGCCACCGTTCGCTCGGTTAGGCCGGAGGCTGCATTACGCTGAACGTTCCCACCGTGACCAGTTCCAGGTGCTCTTTGGGGGTTTGGGGAACATCAGGGCACAAAGCCTAAAAGCCTGGTGGTGACACAGCAGCGGGACCGAGATCAACAGAGGCCGTAAGGGCCGACCTAGAGAAACAGAAAAGCAGGGCTCCAGGTGGCCCCCCGGGGGTGGGACGTTGCACAGACTTATTTTAAGACCCTAAAATGTCATTTCTGATAATTATTAGGTTCAGTCAAACTAAACTACAATGCAAATAGGCCCATTCTTCTGCAAGGACAGGGCTTCGTGGCCGGGCTCAGATCAGAGGATGGCCCAGATCTAAAATGGCTTCTTTTAGGTCAAGAAAGTTATGTCTGGGTCTCTTCCTCTGGGGAACCCCTACCCTATCTGCCCTCAGACTGCTGAGCCTGCAGAGAAGGGACGGGGGGTGGGATGGGCCGGGCCAGCTCAGGATGTCACATTGGTGATGAGTCAGCCCATTTATGAACGAACACACTTGCGTCCTGAGAGCTGGTCTGACCCGTTTCCCCTTGAGACACAGAGGAGCCAGGTGACGATTGCCGCTCCCGGGAGCAGCCCTGCTGAAGCCAGAAGGTGTGGCCCAGACAAGGGCGGGCAGGGCTCATTGTGGGGGCGACAGTATCCGGGCCCCCCGGGCCCACATGCCCCTGCAGCAGCACTCCCCTCTCCACGTGCTGACACAGCCGTTGGGCTGTTTGCAAAGTGGGGCAACCCTGGGAGTGGCCTGGATCAGGGAGAAGGTCCTTGGCATCTGTGCACAGGCCGGCCAGGCTGAGGGCGGCTGCAGGCGGGGCCTGGCCCTTGGGGTTCGCCATCAGCGGCTCACGGCAGATGGGGGCACGGGGGTGTCAGTGACCCTCCTGTGACGGGCTCAGGCCTGTGGAGGGTTTGGGGTGTGACCTTGACTATTTTGGGAGCTGCCCTAAGCCTGTCTGTAACCGAGAACGAGGCCGTGCTGTGCTCACAGCTCCGCAAATCCGCTGTCTCCACTGCGCTTTCCTGAGACAGCTCAGCACCCTGCAGGACGGGAAGCGGAGCCTGCCCCTTGCCCCCGGGACCAGAGCCAGAGCACTGCTAGTTGAGAGGACAGGACAGCCAGCGGCCCTAGGGTTTAGGAACAGAAGTGAGAGGAGGGTATGGGAGGGAAGGAAGCTTCAGTCCCAGGTATTTATAACTGAACAGGCTTCTAGTAACTGATTTCTGAGGTCTTTAGTACTGAGTGTGGTTTAGCGTGTGCATGTGCTCTGAAAACCGGTGGTGTGACCGTGATGTCGTGTCGATACTCATAATGATTCTATTTTAACCCAAATACTTAATTAACAAGAATGTCTTTCCCTTTGCTGTGGTGAATGACCAAACTGTGTGTGGCAGCGGGCACAGAACGCGTACCGAGTTTTCCTGTTTTATTATTTTTTTTAATTTTTATTTATTTTATTTATTTATTTTTGGCTGTGTTGGGTCTTCGTTGCTGCGCGCGGGCTTTTCTCTAGTTGTGGCGAGCAGGGGCTACTCTTCATTGCGGTGCGCGGGCTTTCTCATTGCCGTGGCTTCTCTTGTTGTGAAGCACGGGCTCTGGGCACGTGGGCTTCAGTAGTGTGGCCTGTGGGCTCAGTAGTTGTGGCTCGAGGGCTCTAGAGCCCAGGCTCAGTAGTTGTGGCATGTGGGCTCAGTAGTTGTGGCTTGCGGGCTGTAGAGTGCAGGCTCAGTAGTTGTGACACACGGGCTTAGTTGCTCCGCAGCATGTGGGATCTTCCCAGGCAGGGCTCGAACCCGTGTCCCCTGCCTTGGCAGGTGGATTCTTAACCACTGCGCCACCAGGGAAGACCCCGTTTTATTATTTTATTTTATTCCTATTTTTATAGCAAAGTTGAAGCATTAAGATTTATTATAATACGTGACATTAAGCTAGAAAATTCCTTGGCAAGAAAGTGTCCATTCAAAAGACAGTCATGCGGTTGGAAGCATTGGTCTGTCTGATGCTCTCCTGTAACGTTCACCTGCATCTTCTCCATGAGAGGAAAATAGGACACGTGACACAAGAGAGGTGGTGTTCTGTGCTAGGGGGGTGCCCAGGACACTTTGGGGGGGCGCCAGGACACTCACACGTTCGGTTTTCCTGTCCATCCATTGGCGGACACTTGGTTGCACCCACTGTTGGCTGCCTGATCTTGGGTTGCAAACGTCCCTGCTTTCCATCAGGTTGTGACGGATGCCCAGCGGGGCACTGCTGTCCGGAGTGCTGGGACCCGGGGCCCCACTCTGGGCACTGCTCCCAGGAGTTCCTGCATCCCTGTGGCTGGGATCTTGCCCTGGGTCATCCTCTGGAAAGGGTCCCTGGGCGTGGCCCCCCTCATGGCTCAGGGGGAGTGAGGGTCGCGGGTGTCAGGGGCTGTGGTTTGTGGGGTCCATGTCCCCGCTTCTCCCCTGTCCCCGTGCAGATTACTACAGCCCCTCGATGCTAGGCCTGAAGACGGACCAGGAGGTCCTTGGGGAGCTGGTGAGGACCAAGCTGCCGGCGGTGGGGGCCCTGATGGACAGTCACGGCCTGCTGTGGACCCTGGTCGTGTCACGCTGGTTCATCTGCCTGTTTGTGGACGTCCTGCCCGTGGAGGTGAGGGTGCCTGGCTCAGACTGGGGCCGACTAGGCGGCCACGCGCTGACCCACTGTCTCTTCCTCTGCAGACCGTGCTTCGCATCTGGGATTGTCTGTTCAACGAGGGCTCCAAGATCATCTTCCGGGTGGCGCTGACTCTCATCAAGCAACATCAGGCCTTGATCTTGGAAGCCACCAGCGTCCCTGACATCTGTGAGAAGTTCAAGGAGATCACCAGAGGGAGCTTCGTGACCGAATGCCACACCTTCATGCGGGTGGGTGTCAGCGCCGTGCCACCTCCCTGCGCGGGCTGCCCAGCCCTCCCCGCTAAGCAGCCCAGGGAGGGGCTCCAGCCCTTCCTGGCCAGCTTCTCCTGGAGCCCGGGGCGCCCGGCAGACCCAGGGTGCTCACCCTTGCTCCCCTCCTGCGCCGTCAGCCCAGGGGTGGGGCTGGGTGCCACCTGGGGCCCCACAGGGAGCCCCGTCGCATCCACACCTTGGTTTCTCCCTGGCCTGGGAGGTGACCGCCCCCATCCCAGGTTTTCCTGATGACCCAGTCTACACCGGGCCCCCCATTTCTGTTCAGCCCTACGCCTATTGACTTCTCTCCAGCCTTGGTGGGGTCACGCCTGTCTGTCCCTCCCCGCTGGGTCCCGGGCCTGCCGCAGGCCGTGTGGACAGCTCAGATCACCTGAGTGAACGAAGTGGATGCTGCGTCCCACAGGCCTGCGGGAAGGCACGGGCCAGGGGGCGGGGTTTACAGGGACACTGGGATGAGGACGCGAAGCCCAGGCCTGGAGTGACCCTGGGAGAGGGGAGCGCTGACCCAGACGCCCGGCCCGTTGTGTTCCTCAGCTTCCCGTTTGAAACAGCTGCACTGATGGCGTGACCCCTCCCCCACCCCCCAGGGTATGAGACCCCTGGCGAGGAGGTCCTGCAGCCTAGGGCTGTTTAGGTGTTTGGTTTCAGTGAACGAAGGCCCTGGTACAATTCACCCTTTACCTGGAGATTTCAGAGCTCTTCAGTGCCTTCCACTCAGCGGGTGGTGCAGCTGCGTCACTGGGCCCAGGCGTTTTCTTCTCTCCAAAGGGCGCCCCAGCTAATGCCCTGCTCTGTCCCCGTGGTTCGGCCTCCTGGACTTTGGTACAAATAGAGTCAGACAGTGCAACTTTGGCGTCCGGCCCTTGGACTCGGGCTGATGCTTCCGAGGTGGTGCGAGTCTGTGTGGAGCAGGGCCCCCGCACACAGTAGGTGCTCAGTTAGTGCGGGCGCCTGGCCTGCTTGTGTGATGGCTGCAGGCAGACGTGTGTCCACGGTGGGTGTGGCTGGTTTTCTGGCCCAAAGGCGTTCTGGGCCCTGTGAGCTGAGTGGACGCAGAGGATTGGCGGGGTGGTCTCCCCACACGGCAGAAAAGCCACCGCGTAAAGACATGTCTGCCCATGACAGGTGTGGCCATCGTGGGACGCTGGCAGGGAGGTGGCCCTGGTCTTATTTTCTCAGGGGTCGCTACAAAGTTGTATATGCATTTCAGCAAAACTGCAGTTCATAGGTCAAACCTCTCTGAAATCCTGAGAACATCTAGAATTTCCTTGAGAATGAACGCCGTGATCTCACTGGCAGCTGAGAGCAGCGTAGTGGGAAGAGGACAGCTGAACCCACCTGAAGAGTCTGTTCTCAGGTCATCGCCCGCTCGGAACTTGCTCCCAGGTGCTCCCACCCCGCCCCTCAGGCACCTTCTCTCCTCCTCGTTGTGAAGCAATTTCTCTGTTACTGGAAGCAAGTCTGAGTCCCTTCCTGCTTCCACTTCTCAAATCTGGTTTCTTCCTTGCTTAGTCTGCTCACCGACAGCCCCGACCGGCTTCCGAGCTGCTGCAGGCAGTCAAAACGAAAAGAGCCCATGCAAGAAGGGCAAAAGCAAAATCAGGGCTTCTGTGCAGCAACAGACACCGGCAGCAGAGTGAAGAGGGAACTCACAGAACAGGAGAGACTGCAAACCACGGCTGCTAAGGGGTCAACATCCAGACACACAGAGACCACAGTGCAACAAGGAGCCAAGGAATTACATTTAAAAATGGGCAGAGCAGGCTTCCCTGGTGGCGCAGCGGTTGGGAGTCCGCCTGCCGATGCAGGGGACACGGGTTCATGCCCCGGTCCGGGAGGATCCCACATGCCGCGGAGCGGCTGGGCCCGTGAGCCGTGGCCGCTGAGCCTGCGCGTCCGGCGCCTGTGCTCCACAATGGGAGAGGCCACAACAGTGAGAGGCCCGTGTACTGCAAAAAAAAAAAATTAAAAAAAAAAATGGGCAGAGCGGATTTCTCTGGTGGTGCAGTGGTTGAGAATCTGCCTGCCACTGCAGGGGACACGGGTTCGAGCCCTTGTCCGGGAAGATCCCACATGCCGTGGAGCAGCTAAGCCCGTGCGCCACAACTACTGAGCCTGTGCTCTAGAGCCTGCGAGCCACAACTACCGAGCCCACATACCACAACTACTGAAGCCTGCGCACCTAGAGCCCGTGCTCCACAAGAGAAGCCCACGCACCACAACGAAGACCCAGCACAGCCATAAATAATAAATTTTTTAAAAAGAAAAAGAAAAATGGGCAGAGGGACTTCCCTGGTGGTCCAGTGCTTAAAACTCCACACTTCTAATGCAGGGGGCACAGGTTTGATCCCTGGTCAGGGAGCTAAGATCCCACATGCCGTGCAGCGTGGCCAAAATGTTTTTTAAAAAGTTTTAAATGGGCAGAGGGCCTGAATAGACCCTATCCAAAAAAGACACAGATAGCCAACAGGTGCACGAAAAGATGCTCAACATCACTCGTCATCAGGGAAATGCAAGTCAGAACCACAATGAGCTATCGCCTCACACCTGTCAGAATGGCGGTCATCAAAAGGACCACAAATAACTAATGTTGGTGAGGATGTGGAGAAGAGGGAACCCTATTCATACATTGTTGGTGGGAGTGTAAATTGGTGCAGGCACTGTGAAAAACAGTATGGAGGGCCTCAAAAAACTAAAAATAGAACTACCATAAGATCCAGCAATCCCACTGTTGGGCACTTATCCAAAGGAAATGAAATCAGGGTCTCTAAGAGACCCCAGCCCGCCCGCGTTCATTGCAGCATCACAATAGCCAAGGCATGGAAACAACCTGAATGCCCATAGATGCATATGGATAAACAAGGTGTGGTCCATCCATGCAGTGGGATTTTATCCAGCCTCGAAAAGGAAGGTCCTGAATGCCCATACAGATGCATATGGATAAACAAGATGTCGTCCATCCATGCAGTGGGATTTTATCCAGCCTCGAAAAGGAAGGTCCTGATACCCGCTACCACGTGGATGAACCTGGAGGACACTATGCTTGGTAATTTGTCACAAAAGGACAAAAACTGTCTGATTCCACATATGTGAGGCCCCTGGAGGAGTCAGATTCATAGAGACAGAAGGGGGTTGCTGGGGACAGAGTTGGGTTTGGGAAGATGAGAAGTTTCTAGAGATCTGATGCCCAACATGTGAGCATAGCTTACACCACCCAGCCACACACCTGGAGTGGTTAGGATGTAAATTATTGGGTAGGCCAAGAGGTTTGTCGTTTTCTCCGTAAGATGGCTCTAGTAGCACTTAGTTGTCTTTAACTTCATTCAAAACAATTTTGTTCAACAGAGTTTTGGAAGTCCTAGCCACAGCAGTTAGAGAAGAGAAAGAAATTAAAGGAATACAAATTGGAAAAGAAGTAAAACTGTCACTGTTTGCAGATGACATGATACTATACATAGAGAATCCTAAAGATGCCACCAGAAAACTACTAGAACTAATCAATGAATTTGGTAAGGTTGCAGGATACAAAATTAATGCATAGAAATCTCTTGCATTCCTATACACTAACAATGAAAAATAAGAAAGAGAAATTAAGGAAACAGTCTCATTTACTATTGCAACAAAAAGAATAAAATACCTAGGAATAAACCTACCTAAGGAGGCGAAAGACTTGTACTCTGAAAACTTTATAAAACACTGATGAAAGAAATCAAAGATGACATAAACAGATGGAGAAATATACAGTGTTCTTGGATTGGAAGAATGAATATTGTGACAATGACTATGCTACCCAAAGCAATCTGCAGATTCAACGCAGTCCCTATCAAATTACCAATGGCATTCTTCACAGAATTAGAATAAAAAATTTTACAATTCATATGGAAACACAAAAGACCCTGAATTACCAAAGCAATCTTGAGAAAGAAAAACGGAGCTGGAGGAATCAGGCTCCCTGACTTCAGACTATACTACAAAGCTACAGTAATCAAGACAGTATGGTACTGGCACAAAAACAGAAATATAGATCAATGGTACAGGATAGAAAGCCCAGAGATAAACCCACCCATGTATGGGCACCTAATTTACGACAAAGGAGGCAAGAACATACAATGGAGAAAAGACAGCCTCTTCAATAAGTGGTGCTGGGAAAACTGGACAGCTACATGTAAAAGAATGAAATTAGAACACTCCCTAACACCATACACAAAAATAAACTCCAAGCGGATTAAAGACCTAAATGTAAGACCAGACACTATAAAACTCTTAGAGGAAAACATAGGAAAAACACTCTCTGATATAAACCACAGTAAGATCTGTTTTGAACCACCTCCTAGAGTAATGAAAATAAAACCAAAAATAAACAAATGGGACTGAATTAAAAGCTTTTGCACAGCAAAGGAAACCATAAACAAGACGAAAAGACAACCCTCAGAATGGGAGAAAACATTTTCAAATGAAACAACGGACAAAGGATTAATCTCCAAAATATATAAACAGCTCATGGAGCTCAATTTCAGAAAAACAACCCAATTAAAAATTGGGCAGAAGACCTAAATAGACATTTCACCAAAGAAGACATACAGATGGCCACAAGACACATGAAAAGATGCTCAACATCACTAATCATTAGAGAAATGCAAATCAAAACTACAATGAAGTATCACCTCACACCAGTCAGAATGGCCATCGTCAAAAAATCTAGAAACAGTAAATGCTGGAGAGGGTGTGGAGAAAAGAGAACCCTCCTGCACTGTTGGTGGGAATATAAATTGATACAGTCACTATGGAGAACAGTATGGAGGGTCCTTAAAAAACTAAAAATAGAAATACCATATGATGCAGCAATTCCACTACTGGGCATATACCCTGAGAAAACCATAATTCAAAAAGATACATGTACCACAATGTTCACTGCAGCACTATTTGCAATAGCCAGGACATGGAACCAACCTAAATGTCCATCGACAGGTGAATGGATAAAGAAGATGTGTCACATATATACAATGGAATATTACTCAGCCATAAAAAGAATGAAATTGAGTTATTCGTAGTGAGGTGGATGGACCTAGAGTCTGTCATACAGAGTGAAGTAAGTCAGAAAGAGAAAAACAAACACCGTATGCTAACGCATGTATATGGAATCTAAAAAAAAAAAAAAAATGGTGTTGATGAATCTAGTGGCAGAGCAGGAATAAAGATGTAGACAGAGAGAATGGACTTGAGGACAAGGCGGGGGATGGGGAGGGGAAGCTGGGACAAAGTGAGAGGGTGGCATGGACATATATACACTACCAAATGTAAACCAGATAGCTAGTGGGAAGCAGCTGCATAGCACAGGGAGATCAGCTCGGTGCTTTGCGACCACATAGAAGGGTGGCATAGGGAGAGTGGGAGGGAGACGCAAGAGGAAGGGGATATGGGGATGTATGTATGCATATGGCTGATTCATTTTGTTGTGCAACAGAGGCCAGCACAGTATTGTGAAGCAGTTATACTCCAATAAAGACATATTTTAAAAAAAAACAATTTTGTTAGATTGTATTGTGACTGCTGTCATATCAGCATCCTTTTAAGAAAAGACATCAAAACTGGTGAATTTTTGTGTAACCATTTTAATATTGAAGATGGAAGGAAAAAAGTAACATTTTCAGCATATTATGCTTTATTATTTCAATAAAGGTAAAAACGCAACCAAAATGCAAAAAGCTTTGTGCAGTGTATGGAGAAGGGCTGTGACTGCTGGAACGTGCCAAACGTGGTTTGCGAAGTTTTGTGCCGGAGATTTCTCGCTGGACGATGCTCCACAGTCGAGTAGACCAGTTGAAGTTGATAGCGATCAAATCGAGACAGTAATTGTAAACAATCAATGTTACACCACGTGGGAGATAGCAGACATACTCAAAATCTCCAAATCAAACGTAAATCATTTGCACCAGCTTGGTTATGTTCATTGCTTTGATGTTTGGGTTCCACGTAAGTTAAGCAAAAAAAACCTTCTTGACCATATTTCCGCATGCAATTCTCCACTGAAACGTAATGAAAACGTTCCGTTTTTGAAACAAATTGTGATGGGCGATGAAAAGTGGATACTGTACAATAATGTGGAATGGAAGAGATTGTGGGGCAAGCAAAATGAACCATCACCAACCACTTGAAAGGCCAGTCTTCATCCAAAGAAGGTGGTGCTGTGTATATGGTGGGATTGGAAGGGAGTCCTCTATTATGAGCTCCTTCCAGGAAACCAAACGACTAATTCCAACAAGTACTGCTCCCAATTAGACCAACTGAAAGCAGCACTCGATGAAAAGCGTCCAGAATTAGTCAACAGAAAACAACACATAATCTTCCATCAGGATAACGCAAGACCGCATGTTTCTTTAATGACCAGGCAAAAGCTGTTACAGCTTGTTAACAGTTTGTAAGTTCTGACTCATCCTCGGTATTCACCAGATGTTGCATCTTCGGATTTCCATTTATTTTGGTCTTTACAAAATTCTCTTAATGGAAAAAAATTCAATTCCCTGAAAGACTGTAAGAGGCACCTGGGACAGTTCTTTGCTCAGAAAGATAAAAGTTTGGGGAAGAAGGAATTATGAAGTTGCCTGGAAAATGGCAGAAGGTAGTGGAACAAAAGGGTGAATACATTGTTCAGTAAAGTTCTTGGTGAAAATGAAAAACGTCTTTTATTTTTACTTAAAAACGGAAGGCCCTTTCTGGCCAACCCAATATGTGGGTTTTACCACACAAACAAAGAAACACCAAAAGAATGAAAATTGGACAAGATGTTACCGAATTTTAATTCCAGGAGCTCAGAGCCTCAGACTTCAGAATCTGAGACATTTTTATGGATTGGGTTCAAAATTTTTAAAGTACTAAACGTGACCCAAGTGTAACGAAGCAAGACCCTGTGGGCCTTCCCAGGGCAGACCCCTCCCCCATCTCCTCTGCTGTGGCTCCTCTGAAGTACCCAGATAATCATATCTCATGCATGTTTCCTGAGTTTTACAGATGCTAAAACCACGAAGGAGTGTCGCCCCCAGCCCTTCTGGCGCCTGAGGATTGATAATGTGACCTTGTGACCTCACCGTCAACCAGAGAACTGTGCAGAGATGATCACACACCCTGGGACCCCCTCCCCCATCTGGTCTTGAAAATGCTTTGCTGAAACCCTTCCGGGAGTTTGGGCCTTTTGGGGGCACAGCCGCCCGTTCTTGCTCCGCCCCGCAGTAAACCCTTCTCTGCTCCAAACTCCGGCCACCCCACTGGGCTCCCCATGCCCCTGCCCTCCTGGGTTGAAGGTCAAAGGGGCTGTGTGTTCCAAGCGCCGCGGCTGGCCAGCTGGCCGCATGGGGAAGCCGCAGACTCTTCAGGCAGTGTCTGGGCTGATGGTTGAGTTATTCTGTCACTAACATCCTTTTGGTTTTAAAAAGTGATGGAAACAGGTGACCTTCCTCCACTCACTGACCAATGGGCCTCAGCCCAGCTGAGGCCTTTACCAGGGGCAGGAAGGGGAAACGCATTGCGGGGTCTAAACTAATCCCTTTCTGTTCCAGAAAATCTTCTCGGAGTCTGGGAGCCTGTCCAGGGCCAGCATCGCCAGGCTGAGGGAGCGTTGCCGGGCCCGGCTGCTGGCGCAGGGCTGACCAGCCTTCCGGGCATCGGCTGCCACCCGCCTTGTGCTGCCGACACACACTCCGCCTCCACCCCAGCCGGGAGCGATTTAATTCTTTCTGTAACGTAGCTCGTCAAGTCTAGTTCTTCGTGTTTCTAAATATGTATTTTTACCTGAGACACTGATAATATATATGTGATGTGTGCGATTGTGTTTATTCCGTCGGCACCTGTCAGTCTGCATCGGCTCACCAGCCACTGAAAACTAACCCCCAGCAGTGCCTTGCATCAGTGTCGCTGGTGCCAGTACTTACCGTCCTTCCTGCAGGAGAGCAGTGGCCTCCAGGGGAGGTTTGCACACGTGACCTTGCTGTAGAAGGTAAGTTTTTCAAATGATTTAATTATCGTGTTACGTGAAGGATAAACCAGATGTACGTGTGTAGGATTTAAGGACTGCAAGTCAGATCCGGGCTGCATCACCCCGGACCCCTGGAGCGAGAAGACGCCCCCAGCGAGACCCCTCCTCTCGGGGCTGGAGGCTCTGGACCTCCACCCTGACCCCGCCTCCCTCCCTCTGGGGGTTCTACCTCTGGCTGAGAAACCCACAGCCCAGGCAGGCTGTCCTGCACAGGACACACGGGGACAGGTGCGCTTTTCCTAGAAGGAACCACGTGACGGGCTCCCCTCCGTGGGAGCTCACCAGCAGCACTGCTAGGGCCTGTGGCGCGTCACTTCCCCGGGGCTCCACGAAGGCAGACGCACCACCTCCACTCTGGGTTTAACTTAACATGTTCCTACCGTGTGTGATGCTACAAATCCCGCCACGCCTGCCAAGACCTGACCCTGCAGGACGGGCCAGCTGCTGGTCTCTCCCCTCGGGCTCAGGCCTGTACCACCCACACCGCAGAGAAGTGGAGATGGACATGCGGGACAATGACGCAGCTCACGCCACTTGCGGCTGGCTGGGCTGCTGCTAGGTGGCTGCGTCCTACCCCACCTCAGCGTCCCTCACGGGACCTGCTCCACTGAGCCTGGTCTCAAGGGACGGCTGCACAGTACAGGCCGCACAGGGCCACCCGCAGGCAGGCTGCACTCAGCAAGGCCTGTGGGTCCTCTGAGGGCGCGGGTCTCTTCTAACTAGGGTCCCAGCTCCCCCTCGGCGGCCGCTGACCCAGGGGAACAAGTAAGGGCCTATCTTCCATGGGGTGATCTGTCCCCTGAGCCACTGAAGACTGGCCTTTCCTCAAGTTGCCACCCAGAGGACCAGCCACACGGCAGCCCCCCAGGCACACCCTGCCCACCGCACGCCCATCGTGACCTCTCACCAGGAGCCGACAAAAGCATGAGGCCCAGACAGACAAACAAAGAGACATTTTATTAGCATCGTTACGGCAACGCGTCACAGGAGGGGATGGTCCTCAGCACAGCCCACCGAGCTGCAAGCGATGAATCAAAGTGAAACGATTATCGTACACAGTGCAGACAAAGGATCACCCCAAACCTCCAACAGAAGATGGAAAATCACTTCACAAGAAAGTAAACGCCCACTTTTCTATTTTAAGAAGTGCCAGCTCTCGAGTGGCAGAGCGTGGAAAGCCCCAGGACCTGGTGCCCAGGAGCCCTGATGCTCCAGGGGCCAGGCCCGCCCTGGCTTCTAAAGCTTAATTTAAGCATCCCAGGCCTGCATCTTCTTAGCCTGCCCTGCGATCCTTGTTCCTACTGATTTCTTCGTGTCAGGCTCACAGCCACCAGCCTTCCTCAAAGCATTAAGACCAGAGACTCTCCCTCTGTAAGGCTTACGTCTGAGTAAAGAGTAAAGACACCAAACACCAGAATCTTAAAAAGCCAAATGACAGCGGAGCCAGTGCCCATTTAGAAAAGCTCTCTTACCCCCCACCCCCCTTAGAGTCCTACTTTGGTAAATATTAACGTTTAACCAGTCAGCAAAATATTTAACCCAGTTAGCAAAATTAACACTGTCATTTCCATAGTTACTCTTTTGTGCATAGTAAATGTGGCCGGATGAGCTTCACACTAGACGAAGCAGATTTGAAAACCAGTTTGCAAGGAAGGGTGCCCCCTTGGCAGCAACCTAAGCCCAGGGAAGGACCCGAGGCTGCGCAGCTGCTGCTGGCCCGTGGCGGGCGCTGGCGGCCGGCCTGCTAGATGGTCTGGTAGCCGGCGTGGCTCCTCTTCCGGCCAATGAGGTAGGCGATGAGGACGACGAGAACCAGCGCTGCCAGGGCACCGCCCACGGCGACGGGGACCAGCATGCTGCGCGCGTCCCGCTGGCACTCCTCCACTGTGGAGACACACGGCCCGGCTGCCCACCTCCGCCCGCTGCCCAGACGCTCCCGCGCGGAAAGGCCTCACCAGCCGTCTGCTCAAAGGGCGGCGTGAGCACACCCACAGGCAGGCTGGAGCGCGCAGAGGCCAGGCGGCGTGGGCAGCGGGACTGGCGCTCACATCTCAGACTTGAAAGGGGCCCCCGGCCATCAGCTACCACGCCCTCGCCTACTCACCAGGCCCAAACCTGTCCCCGTCCACGCGGAACGCCTGGACCCACACTCTGAATATGTTGAGAAAGAACGCCTCAGTGACCTGCACGCGCTCCTCGGCATTGCACTTGTAGGAGTTCCCGGCGGCGACCTGCAGCGCTCTCAGCGAGCTGTTGGTGGCCCTGAAGGTGGGCTCTGCAAAGGCAGCAGGGGTGAGTGCCTTGGGGCACCCACAGAGGCATGCCGATTGCGGGGGGGGGGGGGGGGGCGGTCTCACCTCTGGCATTAGGCAGAGTCATATTAAGCTGGACTCCCTGCAGGAAAACCCGGCTGGAACTTGCATTCTAGGGAGAAGGCGACAATCACACGGTCACCGTCAGGCCCGGGGAGGTGGGGGGGCTGGTGATAAAGGTGGCCTCCCGAGCCCGTAGCTTCGGAAGGAAACTGCAGAGCGCCCAGCCCATAAAAGGCAGCCTGTCATCTCGGGAACATGAATCCTGATCAGCTCCTTACAGACCCTGTTACAGAATCAGACTCTGCTAAGATGCGGACTGAAAGAGCTACGTTCCAGAAAAGTCAACATCTAACTTCCTAGGAAAGTTGACTTCATCAGGAGAAACCCAGCAGTTCAGCTGCAGAGTGTGTACCACAAACACCCACCTGGGGCTCCTCCCTTTTACTCCTTTGCTAACTGCACAGGCGGCCCTTCCCAGGCAGGCACAAAGAGCAGAGGGCGCAGAGACGCTGCCCCCAGGACGGGCGGAGGACAGCACCTGAGGCCCCAGGTGGCCCCTGCCCTGTCTGGGATATGCGCGAGGCGTCTGCTGACAGGCGCAGGTGGGGCCGAGGGTCCGGGAGGCAGGCCGGGGGGCCCTCACCATCGCAAACTGCAGCATCAGGAACAGGTTCCCGCTGCGGAGAGCCAGGGTCACCAGCTGGGCTGTGCAGCTCCCCCCGAAGGTGGTCTTGTTGGGGTCGATGTTGAACTCTCTGGTCACCGTCTAGTTAGAAGAGCCAAGAGGTCAGCTTCCCCTCCCCCAGGCCTGCGCTGAGGGGACACAGGCAGCCCCAAAGCAGCGGCTTCAAAGCCACGTTCACGTGAACCAAAACCAGAAGAAAACGTGACAAGTTCACACGGGCAGAGTGCGGGATGCCAGACAGTCCTCCTGGTACTTCCGGCTGCTTTCTCCTGCTTTCACGTCCCTGCAGCGGGGGGCGGCCCCTGTCTCCATCCCCAGACTCTCACCCTCAGGGAGAAACGTCATCTCAAGGGAAGAGCAGAAAGACAACCCAAGTGTCCAAGCAGTAAAGCGTCCAAGAAAATCCCACCACCTCCCAGGCCAGCACACCTGTCCTGTGGTGACCACACACACTTGAGGCTTTGGGGCCGCACAACAGCCTGGGTCGGAAGACTCAACCCTGCCGTTGCACAGACAGTGGCCCAGGTGGGACGGGGATCCGGCTGAGCAGCTCGGGACACACAGCACCCGCGACCCACCCCGGGACGCCCGGTCCACAAGGCCCAGGGCGGGGAGAAGGGCCCCAGCCTCTACCGTGTTGTCCCTTGTCCTGTAGGTGACATTCAGCTGCAGTCCCATGCTGGCCAGCAGGCAGGTCCCGTTGGTGCCGCTCACGTTGTACTTGGACACCGAGGGGCTCTCGGGCGCCGGGGTGGGCGAGGGCCGGGGTGGCACCGTCGGGGTGGGTGGCGAGGGCCCGTCTTGCTCGCAGTGCGTCTCTGTGGGGACGGTGGGGTGAGTCGTGCCGCCGCCTCAGGACCTCCCGGAACCCTGGACCCCGAGCCCACCCTGGGCCCCAGCTGACGTTCTCAAGGGGCCCCACCCCACAGAACACGACCTCCAGGCCTCCTGGCAGACGCGGGCTAACTAACGCTGCTCTGGAACCCTGGACGGGAACAGGTCACCTCGGCGACGCTCAACCTGGCCCCTCGTCCGCAAGGACACCCTCCCTTGCAGGACAAACCTTCCCCCCGTGAGGTCAGAACAAAACCTCAACTCCATCCCGTGCTTTGGGGACCCAGGCCACTTTCAACAGCAACAATTCACATATATGTTCTCCGAGCTCCTGTGCCAGGCGCTGGGCTGGAAATGGTCCCAGAGACAGCAGCAGAGCGGCCCGGAGTGCCTGGGCTCCACGGGGACGGACACCAGACACACACACCATCGCCAGCCCGGACCATCGGCGTGGTGCCCCCAGGAGAACGGCAGCGGCCCCGGGAAGGACGGGCACCAGACGGCCCTGGTCAAGGATGGAGCCGAGTCTCCGTGCCCGGGGTCAGCCAACTGCTGTGGGCGCTCATCCCGGGGTCAGCCAACTGCTGTGGGCGCTCACCTGGGGGGGCCTAGCGAGGGGGCGAGTGGGAGCCCAGTGGCAAGAGACACAATCAGGAGATGGGGGCGGCCCCAGCCACACAGGTCCGACAGGGGAGGGCACAGGGCGCCTCCGGAGGACACAGAGGGTGTGCATACGACCCCGTCCCTCAGAATCTGACCCACCATGACTACTTACGACAAAAATTTATATTCAAAATCAAAGCTGACTGAGGCAAAAGCTGAAAAGTAACTGTACGTGTTCCACAGGGGCTGACAGGCCACACACGCCTTCTCTGAAGGTTAACGAACGTCCCGAACCCCAGGGCATCCGGCACCCCCAACCCAGGCTCTTCCTTTTTGTTTTTTGTTTTTTTTTGCGGTACGCGGGCCTCTCACTGTTGTGGCCTCTCCCGTTGTGGAGCACAGGCTCCGGACGCGCAGGCTCAGCGGCCATGGCTCACGGGCCCAGCCGCTCCGCGGCATGTGGGATGCTCCCGGACCGGGGCACAAATCCGTGTCCCCTGCGTCGGCAGGCGGACTCTCAACCACTGCGCCACCAGGGAAGCCCAAGGCTCTTCCTTTTACCACCTTGTTTCCGTGGACAGTGGGCAAGCTTAGTGCTAACGGTCATACGATCTCCATCCAACTCCAACCCTTCCCACGGGTCTCCTAGGCCAAGCCATGGAAGCCTGCCCAAACCTCCAGGGTGGGAGCCGCTCGGGAAGCGGCTGGAACCCGTCCACCAGCAGAAGCTCAAGTCCAGCTTGCACCCCTGTCCAGCTGCGGACTCCACGTCCACCCCAGAGGACCGGGACACGGGAAACTTAGCCCACCCTGAGGGTCACCTTGCCCCGCCGGCCTTCACACAACTTGTAGAGGGAAGTGCTTTATTCTAGAGAAGAAAGAGGGCAAAAAAGAGAAACAAAACCCAAGCTCTGGGAGGTGGGCTCAGCTGGGTGAGCACCCCCGAGATGCCTGGCCCCGGGGGCCCCGGATGGCACTGCCGCCTCCCTCCTGGAGCTAAGCTGCAGGTAGACGTTGGGACACCTGCGCTTTTAAAAGCAGTTTTATCAGTTACTTACCAATTGTCACAGGACACAAATGATTAAATGCACAAACCACGTTAAGACAAAAGAAGAGAACACGCCAGTCTCCAAGTCCTTGTCTACCCGACCACTGAGCTATTGTAACGTGTGACCTGCTGTCTCCATGAAGCTCTTACTAACCGCCAGTCAAAACCTCAGGAGTTTAGAATGTGTGTGGGTGACAGCCCTCTCCCTTCTGTGTTAACTAGCCTGACACCTACGGCAGATACCAAAGTCCCTCCCACAGAGGGCTCACAACCTGAGAGGATCACTCGGGGACGCGCATGCTCCGCCGGGAAGTCCTCTGGGAGGCGGGGAGCCCAGCGGTGGTGGCACGGGAGGAGGGGGGAGGGGCGGGGCTGTGCACCCTCCCAGTGCCCTTCTCACAGCTCTCAGAAGCTCGTGTACCCCGAAGGCCCCTGCTGGTCTCCCGGCAGCTGCAGATACTCAGATAAACCTGCACGCTGCACTGACGAAGTTTCAAGTGGAAAGAGACATTCTAGCACGGCCCGCACCTGAGCTAGACTGGGAGTGAGTCTCAGGTTCCCAAGGAATGAAAACGTTAGTAAGGCCAAACTGGGCAGGAGGTGAGACATGTGATAAACTTCACTGAAAAGCAATTTCTGTTTTGAACTTCTAACTCTCTCAGAAGAGCTGACAAGAATCCACACATCAAACATGAAAGACGAAAAGATGAATACACGTCAATCCTGTGGCGGGCCCAGGGTTGGCATCCGATCCTGCCGGACACGGGGGCCCCACTGGCCAGGTGGCTATAGTGCCTGTCCCAACCTGGCTCTGCCATGTGAGAATGAGAGAGCAGCCACAGGAATGGGTGAGCGAGTGGTCATGGCTGTGTCCCAATAAAATGTTGCTTATGATCAGTAAAACTTAACTTTGTATCATTTTCATGTGTTGTGAAACGTTATTTTTTAACGTTAATCTATAAGCAAAAACACCATTTTTAGTTGTTGGCTGTGCAGAGCCCAGAGGCCCTTGCCAGCCCGGGGCTGCAGCTGGCAGTGTGGAGGGCCGTGGGGTCAGCAGGCACCCCAGCTGCTTCCGAGCCGCCAGGGAAGGCTGCGGGGCAAGGCTTAAACACAGAGAACGACAGTGGGGACACCTCCCTCCCCGCAGGAAATGACAGCGAGCTGCCGGGCAGGATGTGGGGAACCGCAGTCAGAAAACGACACCCGCTGCCACAGACTCCGGCCGGCGCCCAGAGAAGCACTCGGCAGGAGCTTCCCGCGAGCCCTCACACCCTCCGCAGACAGGTGAGCATCCTCACTTCGCAGGTGAGGAAACAAGCGGTCGACTACCTCACCCGAGACCACGGGCTGGGCTGGTGGGTGCACCCCTGAAAGGCCCCCCTGGTCGCTCCCACCCCTGCCCCAGGCCTGCGCGAGCTGGACTGAGGTTAGGTGAGGTCTCTGTGTAGAGACAGTGGCTTGAGCTGAAGGAGAGCCTACAACCCTGACTCCATTAGCTCTGTAACAAGGGCAGAGAGGGGGTTTGAACTGCTTTGCCCCTTTAGCCTGTTTTAATCCACCCTCACCGAAAGAGGTAACCTTCTCTGGAGACCGAGGGGCAGGGGCAGCTCTCTGAAGACGCGCAGGTCTCCCCGGGCACCCACGGGGGCTGGGCCGGGGCGGTCCTCACCCTCCCTGCTGAAGTTGCCGTTGGAGAGGTAGGCCTGAATGGTGGCGTCACGGAGCGTGATGGTCACGTTGTGCAGGCTGATCTGCTTGCCGCTCACACACCTGTACTTTTTATTTATGTCTGCCTTGATGTCGGTTACGGATTCCACAGTCTTGGTTTCTACGTGAAAAAAAAAAATCGATCTTTAACTCCTGGAAGTGCTTAGAAGCAATTTTAGATACTCCCCCGACCCAGTTTTTTCCACCCCATAACTGGTCCATATTGGTTCTTACCCTTGGAGCTCGAATCGGGGAAAATCCCTGTATCTGACAAGTTATAAACAAAACGCATCAGCTGGACACTGTAACGTGTTGCATTTCTTGTGAAATTGAGGGTCAGCGTATGGCCTCTTCCAAAAACGACCACGAGACTGGAGTCAGAAGCATTTCCTTTGCCACAAGAGCTGCTATTTAATACTTCTGCACTGGCCGGCAGCTCAAAGGTCACGCTCTGGAACAAACATGATGACAGTGGAACACAATTAGGGTGTAGGTTACTAAAGGGGTTCAGAAACACCAAAGATCTGACATATGCCCCGACCCCAGCTCCATCTCAGATGTCGCTATTAATGCATTCATTTTCAGTGAAAACAAAAAACATGAAAGTCAGTATTACATGTCAAGTAATAGACCAGAAAGTAACTCAAGTGCAAGGCAAGGATGACCTAATTATTCACTAATTTAAAACTGTTCTTCATTAATATGATTTTAATTTATAAGAGAAGTAAAACTACAGTTATCTCAGTAAAGTGAAATAATTCACGTTGGGCTTCAGGATGAGCTGATACTTTTATCTGGAAAAAGCCATTACCTCATGTTTGCCATAGAAAAGTTTATGTCTCTCTAAACAAAGAGAAGAGGGAGTTTACTGCAGAATTGTCTGAATTAACTATTATAAGCAAAACAAACAACTACAAAACCACCAAAGCTCATCTCGATGAACTGGACTGGGTGAAGGACCCGTGGGAAGCTGTCCTAGCATTGTCCTGATGGACAGACCACGCCTGTGACAAAGACACACTGTGTGAAGTGGGAAGGCACATTACAGCAAACGGATGTTCCCATTTGTGTACGCGATTAGTATGTAATGAAACAATGTTTTAAAAAATCCAAACAAAAAGAAGTGAAGCAGAAATTAGAATAAAAGGTGCCTAGGGGACTTCCCGGGTGGTCCAGTGGTTAAAGACTTCGCCTTCCAATGCAGGGAGTGTGGGTTCAATCCCTGGTTGGGAAGCTAAGATCCCACATGCCTTGTGGCCAAGAAACCAAAACATAAAACAGAAGCAATATTGTAACAAATTCAATAAAGACTTTAAAAATGGTCCACGTTAAGAAAAATAATTTTAAAAAATTTAAAAATAAATAAAAGGTGCTTGGACTAGTCTTTACAATTGGAGACATTTCTGTGGAATGACGCTTCCCTGCTTTCTCCTGTTCCCATAGAGACCACATTTATATCAAGACAGGGCCAATGAACTGAGGAGGCCAGGCAGCCGGCACGCCCAGAGGCTCTGAAGAAGCTACTTGTCCTCCCAGCGGCCCTGGGCCCCCGCTGCCCTCCGAGTGCCGGAAAACAGATATGGTGCCTTGGCTGTGGAGACGGGTAAGGAAAAACACCGCTTCAGCAGAGCACTGAAAACAAAATATAAGAGTATGTTTACGAGAACAAACGTTAAACGCAAAGAGAAAGTGAAAAGTCCACTAACAGGTAATTCACGGAGGAAGACTTAACAAAGAAATGCTGCTTATTTGTTAGGGATCTGGTAAATGCAGAAAGCCTTTCTCACCCTGCAGAGCTGCAAAGCTGTTTTAACAAAACCAAAAGGGACATTCTAATCAAACTAGCACAGTGGCACTGCACCTCGAGCACCTGTTTACACACGATTCTTGGAGCGTAACAATTTACCTAAAGCAGATTCAACAGATCAAAAAAGCTATATTCACAGAGCTGTACACCGGGCATAAAGAGAATGTAAGGAAACTCAGTTACGGGGCTGGGTTGGTAAATTAGCGCGACTGACAGATTGACACGTGAAGCGCTACGTTGTGACTACAAAGATAATCAGGAAGAAAACCGGAAACACGCTCACAACCGAACAGTGAGCACGAAAGGGTTCATATAACACAACTGCATCCTCAGTATATAAAACGCATAGACTATTACAGGTACTAACAGCCTGTGACACAGCAGTGTATAACATACAAGAAACACACACACGTGTACGGCTCTCAAGGCAGGTTAAATGATCACACATGCAAGCAAGGCATGAAGGGCCCTGGCGTTTCCTACCTTAGAACCGTTCTTGGTGTCATAGCTGGTCAGGAAGGCAGCAGAGAAGTCGGCCATGATACAAGCTGTCCCATCGCCATCTTTCACCACAAACACAGCTGATGCACCATGCACGAGGCCTGCTAACTCCAGGAAAGACAGAAAGACCAAACACCTTTTAGAAAATTTTGGTTGTCTACAGCTGCGGCAATACAGCTGTTACTAGGAAAGCTACTTAAATCGCCGAAGAACTAGACACAGAAGCCCCGCAGGTGGGGCTCAGCTGGGCTTCTGTCCCTCCTGGAGACTGGTCTGAAAATGTTCTCTCTAAACCCATCCCATCAGTTTGCCAACCTGTCATTAGCTCTTCAATGCTTTTCTTCAAAATACGTACCGGGAAGTCACAGGTCAATTTCTGGGTCACCCCAGGCCCAGGCTGCCCACGCTCGTTCCTCAGAGGATCTCGGGGACGCGGGGTGGGGTCCTGAGGGTAGGACTCAACGTAAACTAAATGCTGACCTTCTACAGAAACCCCGTGGACCCAAATCGCTACTTAATAAGAGTCGGCTCTGCTTTTGCCTCTCATGGACTGGCGACGTGGCAAGAAAAGCCTCAGAGACTCAAAGATCAGAGCTCTTTGCCCGTATCCAAAAGGTCCTCAAAATACAGTAATTCCACTGGACCTGGACTTGGCTGTGTGACCTTAGGACACCACTATGCCTCTGTAGGTATAGCCGCCAAGTGCCTGAGGGAAGGGGCGGAAGGCAGCTGTCACAGGTCCTCCAACCTGGGAGTGGCCACCACCCTGAGCTAGTTCTCAGGGCCAGGGCCGCACCCCGAAACCCCGAGCAGGCAGCTTAGCAGCAAATGCACTCCGATCTGAGTCAGAGAAGGTAAGTGACAGCCACACACCTTAGCACAGGGTTCTTTCACAGACGGGCAGGTGTCCTGACCATCCTAAAGCCAAGCAGCCACCAACCAGCACCGGGCACTGCCACACTCCCGGGAACACACCTCCTTGTTTCTGCAGCTAAGATCCCTGCACGCCCTTCATCAAGCAGCGGCACATCTGGCTATGACGGCTCTAAGGGTACATGTGACCCAGGCAGCACACTCCGAGGACAGCCAACTAGCTTTCATTCTGAAGTCCCTGTTGCTGACGTGGTAAAATGACTCCAGTGAACCCAGTTCACTTCACCCTTGGGACCGTCACCAAATAAAACGTTCAGAGCAACTACTACTTAAGCCTAAAGCGAACAGTATAGACAGAAAGCCTGCATACCCTCCTGTAAGCCTCAGGTAAAGGAAATACCAAAATCTGTGTTCATAGAGAAAAACTGCTACAGATGAAGCAAACCAGGGCAGACAAGAAAAATTCTGTCTGTTGTGCTTCGCAAATTTTAATCCCCGCCCCCCCCCGAATACTGCAGCAAGATTCCACTAAAGTCATTTCCAATGAATGAACGTTCCTTTTAAAAACCTAGAGAAAATCCCACAACTCATTTTTGACACAGTGAAGTTTTTTTTCTTTATTAATTAATTTATTTTTATTTTTTTGGCTGCGTTGGGTCTTCGTTGCTGCGCGCGGGCTTTCTCTAGTTGCAGCGAGCGGGGGCTACTCTTGGTTGTGGTGCGCGGGCTTCTCATCACGGTGGCTTCTCTTGTTGTGAAGCACAGGCTCTAGGCGTGAGGGCTTCAGTAGTTGTGGCTCATGGGCTCAGTAGTTGTGGTTCATGGGCTTAGTTGCTCCACAGCACGTGGGATCTTCCCAGACCAGGGCTCGAACCTGTGTCCCCTGCACTGGCAGGCGGATTCTTAACCACTGCGCCACCAGGGAAGCCCTACAGTGAAGGTTTTTAAAGACATGTCTCTGAGAGCAACGGAGTAAGTGCACAAGAGCTACAGAGATGCCAGGCAGGCAAATGCAGGTTCGGCAGCAGAAGCAAAAGCCTAGGCGCTGAGGCCAGAGAAACACTGGACACTGACCAGCTCACAGTGCACATGGGCGATCCCAGGCCTGAGCTGCCCTCAACGGCCCGGGCGCTGGAGCCACATGCTGTCACATGTGCCACAGCACAGCAGGTCAGGTGGCCACCTCCCACAAGGGCCCGCACAGGCCAGCTCCTACCAAGCCACCCTCCTATAAAATAGGTCCCTAAGTCACCAAAAAACGTTCTACTGACTCAAAGCACTTAACTAGAAAACACTTCATAAATAACTTTTCAATTTTTTCATTTAGTAAGCATGCTGAAGGTCTGAGCTTTCAAAGGACAACAAACTAGTATTACTAAAACAAACTTAAAATAAGCATTAAGGACTTATCTGGCGGTCCAGTGGTTAGGACTCTGCGCTTCCACTGCAGGGGGGGCACGGGTTCAATCCCTAGTCAGGGAACCAAGATCCCACATGCCGAAAGGCGTGGCCAAAAAACCCCCAGAAACACAAAACAAAAAGCATCGGCAGCACTAGAGGCCCCCAAATTTTCCACTATTAAAACAAGAAACCCGAGCCAATTTTGGTCAAGAGAAAAACGTCTACCAGAGCATTACAACCAAACACTCTAAGAGAAACACGTATGCTAATAGTCAGATATTAGTTTTTAACTCTATAAAAGACAACCCCCATCTCAAATTAGCTAGGATGTGTGCAGTAATTTGAGGGGTGTCCCTCCCAAAAGCCAGAACCTGCACCGCCGGGAGCTGCTCCCCTTCGGCACGCACGCCAGACTCACGCCAACCTCTCTCCACGGGTCCCACAGAGGAACGAGGGGCTTATTCCTTCAAAACACTCCCACCTGGAGACACTCCAGTCTCTAAAACAGGTGCAGCTGTGGGAGCATGCCTGCCTGAGATGAGAGACCTCAGTCTCCGACAGACTCCATCACTGACTGACTGTGACCCCGGGCCCGGGGAACCACCACGCCCCTGTGAGACGGAAATGAGCGTCAAGTGAGCCAAAGCAAGGGGAGCGCTGGGTACAAGGCATCAGCCTGCTTTCAGTGTTAGCTGTTACTATCGATGCGTTCAGTGCCACACGGCCCTCATCTACTGTTGAATCCTTGGTACCTGACACAAACCGTCAAATAAGCGTTTCATTTAACGAGCACCTGTAGTGCACCTTGCAGGTAACTATAAACTATGGTGACAACTTTAATAGGCGGACACTATGCCGATTTCCTTTCACAGATGTGGAGTCCAAAGCACAAAGTTAACTACTGTGCTCGAGGTCACACAGCCAGTGATGGTGCAGAGCCAGATGTGGAACTGGGTCTGCTGACTCACAGCATGTGCCCGCCGAGCTTGCCACGGGCCGGTGGCACAGTGAGGTCCACACCTGAACCACACTTTCTCTCCAGCACTTGGTAAGCAAGTGAATATGCTTCAAATTACGACACACTCACTTCCATATGAAAGAAACTGCCATCTAGAGGAACAAGTCAATACATTCTTTGTTAAACTGTTTAAGAGAAATCACTTTCTAATTTCTCTTGGCTCGATTTTCTTGAATCCAGTATTTTTTTTTTTTTTTTTTTTTTCGGTATGCGTGCCTCTCACTGTTGTGGCCTCTCCCGCTGCGTGCTCCGGACGCGCAGGCTCAGCGGCCATGGCTCACGGGCCCAGGCGCTCCGCGGCATGTGCGATCCTCCCGGACCGGGGCACGAACCCGTGTCCCCTGCATCGGCAGGCGGACTCTCAATCGCTGCGCCACTGGGGAAGCCCTGAATCCAGTATTTTTATTCTTCTTAACCAGTGATACATAATCACCTGTGAATATGTAAAGGAAAAAAAGAAAGACCAAGGCTCCATCCCACACACAGTCACAGACTCTACAGACCAGTATGTACATTTCTGAACAGCTGATGTGCATGTTCAGTTAGGGACCACTGGACATCTCTTCCTGTATGTGCTGAGCAATTACCGTATGTGAGGCACGAGGTAGGCTGTAACATAAGGAAGACACAGGTGTGAAAATAATCAGAACACAGCAGAACCAATGCTCCAGTAGAAGCACGTGCTGTATATGCACATAGTCAAGTCTTCCGGACGCAGAGAGGGGAAAGGACTAATACAGCCTGGGATGGATCTAACAATATAAATTCAAAATTATGGACCCAAAACATTTTGACCTCAAATCTAGTCAAAAATTAGGTCGCCAACCTGGGCAAATGGCAAACTCCCACAAGCGAGGGTAACATTAATCGGTACACAACATTTTTTCAAACTTCCTAAGCAACAGTTCTTCATTAGGAAAGGGGAAGGAGGTCATCCCGGTGACATCAACAGTCAAGAGCCCCGTTATGCAATATACTTAATCATGTGTATCAAGAAGTTTCAGTTCACACTTGTCTATGCTTTCTACCAAGTATTAAAACACAAAGGAAACTACTTTCTAATTATCAAAGCAGGATGAATTTGTAACTCAGAAGTTTGAAATATTTTTAGAAAAGATGCTTTTTGGTGAAATTGTGCATTAAAAGAGACATTATTTTAAACAGACCTAAATACAGGCTCTTAACAGACCTTTTGAAAAGTTGGATTTTTAACTGAACATAAAACTTAAAAGATATGATGGAATGGACATTAAAAAGCTAATTATGGGAACTCCCTGGCGGTCCAGTGGTTAGGACTCCGCACTTTCACTGCTGGGGGCCCAGGTTCAATCCCTGATCGGGGAACTAAGATCCTGCAAGCCTCGTGGCATGGCCATTAAAAAAAAGAGAAAAAGCTAACTGCATGCATACTCCAAGCTATCAACGTAGGGAAGTATGGATTTTTCTCTTCACTCAGGTGAGTTTTTAAAACATGAAACAAAATGTGACAGTTCTAATGCACGCGAGCTCTTCTAATAAAGAAGAATGAGCCGCCCTGACACGACAAGGCTTGTCCCAGCAGGCCCTCTCAAAACTCATGACACCTGCGGGGGAGAGCAAGGCTCCGGATCTGCGGCTGGCATAAGATCACCTCCCCCCGCGAGGGTGCTGCAGCTCTAAGAACTCATTTTACGCAACAGGCAAAACAAAATCCTGAAGCCAAAATTCATTCTGTCACAATAAAAGAACTTCAGAGTAGATATTTCGAGAATTCCCAGCAGGTACTTGGGAGACTGCTTCTGTGTCTGCTGAACTCAAGGGAGCGCCCACCAGTGAGCTCCGGTACCTCTTTTCAGTTCCTGGCACTTTAATCTTCCCGTATCATGGGGACCAGGTGAGAAAGTGCCACAGAGAGAGCTCTCAGTAGCCATAAAAATCAAACCACGCAGTGATTCTTGTTTAAGTCAACACAATTCCTTTCTCCTTAGGACAGATAAATGACAGCAAAATTCCTCAATGGATAAAACACCGGCGCCCACGGGCAGCTCCCGAGTTCCGTGGGCCCAGCGCGCACACACGCGCACACACACACACACACGCAGCGCTCCTGACGACTCACTAGAAATGGAGACGACCCTTGGGAAGCCAGGTCTAGCCCCCCTCTCCTTCTGTCCACTGTGGGCTCCCCGAAACTCTCAAGGGCTACTTTAACTCATTATAACGTAATTAAAATTCACAACGACATAAACACACGCGTCAGCGCTCTGTGCCATGCTACTGGGGGCGAAGGTTAAAAGCCCGAAGGACGAACTCTAAAGGCCGGAGTCGCCGCCCGCCCTATTCTCCTGCGCGGACATCCGCGTCGGGCGCAAACCGAGTCCCATGCGGTCCCGCGTCTCCGGCTGCAGCCGCACGCGGCCCTCCGGGGCCACCGGGGCCCCCAAATAAGGGCGCGAACCACGCCGCTCAGAAAACACCAAGTCACTGCCGACTGACCCCACAACCCGAGGTCTGGGACCCGAGGGCCGCGCCGAGCCCTCCCTCCTCCGTCGTCCACTTCTGGGCACCTGGACCGACCCCTCCCCCCGCAGCCGCCTCGGCCGGTGCGGGACGACTCGCCTGGAGTCCCCGGGCCCGGCCCGACCCCAGCCCCGCAGCTCCCGGCCCCCGAGCAGCCCCCCGCCCCTCACGCCGCCCCACATCCCTCTGGGCCCGCGCAGGGCCGCACACCTGCCCAACCCCTCACCCCGCAGCCCCTGAGCCCTCAGCCCCCAGCCCGGCCTCTCACCGAACAGCAGCAGGAGCAGCGGCCATCGCCGGGAGCCGCCGGGGGCCGCCATGGGCGCGAGCGGGAGCCGGGCGGGGTCGTGGGCGGTTGGGCCGGGGCGGGCGGGCCGGGGTCTGACCCGGCCGGCGTGATGGTAGCTGGTCCCGGTGTTGCGCCCGCTGCAGGAAACAAACCCCGCGACCGGGGGCGCCTTGTCACGTGATGCCGCGCCCGGCCCGCCCCGTCACGTGACCCCCGTGCATCTCGCGAGAGTGAGAGAGCTCAGGCGTGCGCCCTGCTCCCGCCTCACTCGTTACCTGGACGGGACACGTGACCGCGACGCCACGTGACTCGGGTCTAGCCTCCGACCCCCGCCCGGTCTCCGGCCGGCGGAAGCGGAAGGCGGGCGGTGGGTGCGGCTGGTCACCTCCTTGAGAGGCCTCTGGGTCCCTCCTGGGGCTGCCGAATGAAAAGAGGGGTTTGGACCGGACGTGCGGCTCTCCGCCGCGGGCCGAGGGTGGGAGTCTCACGGTGGCCGCCCCACGGGAGACGAGGGGGCGTTTTCGCAGGGACGCCGATGCTAACGCGTCTCTCGGCCTCGGGGCCCGTGGAGAATCCGGGCTGGGGGGTAGGAAGGAGGGGGATGTGAACACGCGTACTGAGTGTTACCGCTCGTGCTGGAAAAACACACAAGGCACAGGATGTAAAGCTAGACACAATCTTGGTTGAAGGGGCTTCAGAGGGTTCGGTGGCTCCCGGCTGTCACCTCGTCCTGGAGGCCGTGAGGGACTGGGCGGCCTCTGACCGGAAGGTTCAGAAAGGCCCCAAGCTGCCCAGGGAAGGAAATCGCAGCCTCGCTGCTTGCAGAACCTTCCTGAAGTGCCTCTCACTCACTCCCCAGTTCCTGATTTGCCTCTAGGCTCTGCCCGGTTCTTATCCTTTCCCGACTGCTGCCCGCACTCTGGCCACACCGGCCCTTTGCAGAGAGAGGTGACGCCCTCCTGCCCTGCTGCTTCGTTGAGCACTTCCAACCCCACCCCCCGGGGAAACGTGCCTCCAGTTCACCTTCAGTGCAGGTGTGTTGGTTACTACCTGTCATAGGCTTTGATTTTTGTGTCTTTTTTTGTTGTTCTTATATTTGTTTGCCTTTTGTAGATCTTGTCTTCTTCCTTGTTGTTCTTTTTTCCTGTCCAGTTTCCCTTCCCTGCCACCACCTAACACAATCAGCTGAAAAAGTCATGACACTGAAGGTTTCAAGTAAAAGGGAAACAGAGGCTGAGGGAGCCCCAGGCTCGTTGCGTTTTGTCGACTGAAGGAAAAAAAAAAACAAACACGAACTGAAAGTTGAGAGCTATGTTTTATTCAGGGATCGTTCTTAGGACTTCAAGCCGGGGCATCTCAACCCTGAGAATCCGAGGGGGGAGCCAGGATATATAAGACTTTTTACAACAAAGGACAGGTAGTCGGAATGTCGAAAGATTATCGTTAATTAAGGAAAACCAGATATCTCAAGGAATTTAGCGCTTTTCTATGTATGGAAAGATGCAAGAGTCTGGGCTCACTGAAATCATTCCTTTGATCTGCACCTCAGCTTTCTGGGGCCAGCGTCCTGTGCTCTCTCATCCTGAGTCCCCTCAGGGCTCACCGTCTGGGATAGTTGCAGTGTGATGACTCCCTGATGGTAGGCATTCCTTGTTTCCTTCGTGAGTTTTCTCAGGCTGCAGGGTGGGGAGTGGCTGCGATTCCTGATGACTGATGGCTGCAATGTCCTTCCTTACTGACATGGCAGGCAGCATTCTTAGTCCACAGATTGTTCAGCTCTTTGGGGCAGAAATCTACTGTTACTACAGAGTTGATTTGTTGATGTCTTGTTTAGGTGTTTAGGGATCTTTCTGGATTTTTTGTTTGTTGCTGTTCCAAATGGGGAAGAGTCTCAGCGGGATCCCATTTACGAGAAGTGCTGTCTGTTGAAGTGCGCTGTGGGAACGAGGAGGTGTTGGATCTGCGGTCTCTATGCTTTCACTGTGAGGTCCTTTATCAGCAGCAGGTTGTTAACATGCTGTTTGCACAGTAGGTTATTATCTGAGCCTGAGCTGTGTCCCTATGCAGTAGAGTGTTCAGATGTAACTGGAAATTCTAAAACATTTCCGTTTTCTCTTGGACTTTCTGATGGTGAGAAACTACCAAATAACCTTGAGTGTGGAAACAAAAGACCTATTAATTTTTTGCTTTCCAGCCTTGGAAGCCCCTTCCTCTGTTGAGAGAACGCCTCGCCCTCTGAATATGGATGGCAGACAGAGCACCCAGCAGAAGCTGAAAAAACCAGATGGTCACTTTCCCAGCCTTCCTAGCGGCTAAGGTGCGAGCTCAGCCGAGTTCAGCCCATTAGAGTGGATCAGGAGCTAGCAGTCGCCCCTGAACGTGGTGTTGGTGGTGATGGCAGCTGTAGCCGCAGCAAAGTGGCATTTCTCCAGGCGGTGGTGAAGGGTCTTCACCGGGTTGTTTGTAGTGTCTTTAGCCGTGGCCCTTGCTGCCCCCTCGCGCCTGCTATTTCCTTAGCGTTATTCTGCATTCCTTTTGGAAATTCTGTGAGCTACTCAGAGGCTTTTCAACAGGGGATTTTTCTGCTTAGACCCATCAGAGCACATTTCTACTGTGTGCAACTGCCCAATACACGCTGTGTTTGAAATCTTCTCTTTTTAAAGACCAAAAGGAGTTTGTGTGAGCAAAAGAACAGGGTGTAAAAAAACAGCAGAAAAATGAAAGGTTTAGCAAAAATTCTATGAAGTTACATTTTAATAGAGTATGGAAAAGTAATATGGTGGGATTTTCTTGTTCGGTATTCTTTTTTGTTTGAATCCTTAACGAAGGCTGGGTCTGATCTGGTTTTTTTTTCTTTTTGGCCGTGCCACGCAGCTTGTGGTATCTTAGTTCCCTGACCAGGGATCGAACCCGTGCCCCCTGCAATGGAAGCACAGAGTCCTAACCACTGGACAGCCAGGGAAGTCCTGGATCTGAACTATTCTGATTGAAGGAAAGATGGAGAAAACCAAGCACAGTGAAGGACTCCACACCTTCTGTATTCTTTTGGAGACTTTTTAAAAGTTAAAACAAAGCAGTGAGGGCAGTAAGTGGAGAGGCCTCTGCAGAGCTGAGCAGGGGACTGGGGACCCTGCTTTGGTAATAATGAGCAGGCAAGTTCACAGATGAAAGGCGGGGCCTTCTTACCTGTGAAATGACCTCGTGCTGCTAGGAGGATGTGGGCTCAGTAGCTAAGGAGATAAGTGATGGTTGATGGAAGGTGAAATCTAGAGGAACGGGCTAGCAGGCAGTCTGTGCTTTTTTTCCTCTTTTGCTCTAAGTTACACTTTTTCTTGAGACTTGTAAGCAAAAATAGTAATGTCGCATAGTGCTGTAGTTTTTTTTTTTTTTTTTTTCTGTACACGGGCCTCTCACTGTTGTGGCCTCTCCC